GCACTTCGGCCACTTGTTTGGCCACAAGTTTGGCCTCACGTTCGGTGAGCACTCGCTTCTTGCGGACGAATTTGTCGAGATCTCCGCCCAGACAGCGCTCGAGAATGAGGAACAGTTCGGTGGGCGTCTCAAACACCGCGAACAGCCGGCAGGCGTTGGGGTGATTCACCCGCAGACCGCTGTCCACCTCGTTCTTCAGCTGCACTGCACTTGACTCTAACTTCTTGATCACTTTGATGGCCACCAATTCATCGATCTCCGGTTTGTCACCACTCGCCGCCACTTTACGAGTGCCCGGATAGACGTCCGCATAGCTTCCGGAACCAATGGCTTCGCCAGAAACGGCAAACCCTTGGGCCGCGAAGTCCGTCTCCACTTTAGTGCTTAAAACCAAAGTCTTAGGCATTTTGTCGAGTGATGTCCTTCTTGTCGGTGCCGATCGTGAGCTGAACCCACACTTGGTTTTCGGTCAAAGCGATGATATCGTCAATAGTGGTCACCCGATAGCCGTTCACGTGACTGATCACAGACCCGGCGGACACTTCTGACTGATGCCTACAAATGGACAATAAAATCATTAGAAATGGTTATAAATTAGTGATTAAAACAAGAGTTGTGCCGATTGTGAGATCAATAAACACATTACACGTACGATTTGGTCACTTGTAGACCACACACACTCTCGGGCTGTACCTCCAGACCAAACGTCCACTTATGAGTGCCGGACAACAGTTGTCGCACTTCCTGTTTATCGAGAAAATCTGCGTTCGGTTTAAAGACAACAAATAATTAACAATAAATGCCATTCAATGACAGCCTATGTCCGCAAGTGTTGGACACTTACTCTTGGGATTTGTGTCACAAATGTCTTCTCAGCAAACAATGGATCACTTGTTCACACTTGGGATCATTTAAGAGACAATCGTTGATAATTTGTGACCAAAAAAGTGGTAAACAATAAGTGAATGAATAAAACAGTTATTCAACGAAATTCTCAGAGATTTTTGTAACAAATAATAGGCTTTTGGTTTGAATTACACGTGATTTTGCAGTTTATAGCAAATTATGTGTTGAAATGTGGGAAACATTTGAATGCATTGTAAAAGCAATTTGTGTCCAAAATATATGACTTTTTAATAGCTTGTAATTTGACGGCTATTTTAATGCATTTATTCAATGTTTAAATGACTATAATTTGTGTAATAATTAGTGAAAACTAGTTGTCATTCAAGAAATGATTGAATAAATAAAGTTTTGGTTTAATTTACACACAATTTATGGCTTATTATAGACTTGTATTTGAAAGTCAAAAACGCTTTCAATTGTCTCTCAATTGTTATGTATTTTCAGTACATTTTCTATAAGTTTTCAAAACATTATTTATGGATAAAACTCAACACAACTTCAAAACTGTTTTCTTTAATAACTTATTGTTTACCACTTTTTGGTCACAAATTATCATCGATTGTCACTCAACTGATCCCATACTGAAGACATCACCCGATTGTGAGACCGAAACCGATGTATCGCTCAACGCATTCATTGTTTTCAGGATTTGGCTTAAGATATGTATTGAACACCTCTTCTGTCTCTTATTATCACTGGTTTTACCACTTCGTCGATATCACACCCTTTGGATCAGGTCTTCGGTAGTGGTTGTTGTCGTACCGATTGTGGCCGTCAAATGTGCGGATCAGTGGCGACGTCTCAGCGGCTAAACTGGCGGTCAACTGATGGCAATGTCTTCGGCCGTGTGTGGCCTCCGGAGGGCAGGAATGGCATCGTTAGGACTCGAGAAGACTTATCAGCCATTCGTCGGCATTAAACCATACTTTCAACGGACAAACAAAGACCTGAACACCGCTCACAACGAGATGTTGGGCTCCGGAAGCATATGTCACACAAACGGCTTTGTGTTGACCACCGCTGGAGTTGTGGCCAATTATAGTCAAGTTGTGGTCCAACGGCTCAATAACAGGGATGTGCTCTCAAACGTGGTGTACGTTACGCTAACGAAGAATATGGCTTTGATTAAGACAACTACCGTCTCGTCGCCCGACATCTGTGTCTGTGATAACAATTCAATAGAAAACACTCCCGAAAGTGGGCCATAGGGTACGGGCGGTGACTAACCCGCGCCACGGAGTGCACACTCACGTGACGGACGGTGTGATCAGTTGTCCGCGACGTAAAGGAGATCTGGTGAACGGCGGCGAATGGATTGACGCCAACAAGTATTACTTACAACACACCTGTGCTGTCAAACTGCAAGACATGGACTGTCCATTGCTGTCTAGACTGACCATAATCTCCAACATTGATAACAATAGCAGTTATGATAAGAATCGATGAATACATTGAAACCGATTTCAATGGTCACCAAAATCTCATTTAAGATTTACGGCATTTTATACTTTTTGTTAACACTTTTTGAATATTATTTTATTAGTTATTTAAATTATTCTAATAATAATAAATTAATTTTTTTTAATTTAAAAAAACAACAATTTATTACACTTCATTTATAATTATATTAAATTTAGTGATTAAACATTTTAACAATTTTGTCAAAACATAACACATTCAAGCGATACAACCATTAAAGTTGATATAGTTTTTAAATTAAAATTGATTTGGGTTTTAATTAAATGATTAAAGTATATATAAAGTATATTGAATTTAAACATTGTATAGGATTTACCGTATATTGTTTTTGTATAATTAAATATTCTAACATATATTATTAAATTATTAATACATAGTTTTTTCCCACAAACACATCATAATTATTATTTAATAACTTGTAATAACAATTAAATTCGTACAAAAAATTATTAATAAATGTATTTCCTAATGACACATTATTAATGTTTTGCTAATCAATATTGAAAATACTCAACAAATTCACAACAAAGTAATTAATAAATAATTTGTATACCATTTGTATATTTCTTATTGACAGTAATGAATATTTCAGTTATTTGTAAAACATATTTTAAATATCAATACATTTCATAATGAATACAAAGGGATGTATTAGATATACAGCGGATGTAATGTTAAACATTACGGGAGACCACAATCGGACAGTTGTTGTACAGCCGGTTCCGGTGCCGCCGTATATCATTATTTTGTATGTATTTTATCGACAAAGTTAATTGAATGTTACATAAGTTTAAATTATGTTTATACAAATTTTACAGCAATTTAAATGCAATGGTTTATGAAATTTGTGGACCATTAGTATCGTTGGTCAGAGAGTTTGCCATCAAATATTATTTTAAGTATGTGTTTGTAAAAGATTAAATTAAAACCTCTATATATGGGTCGTTGTTTGCATTATACAATCTTTTTCTTCATTTAATAAACATGTTTTAATCTAATATTCATTAAATTAAATATTGAATTGCAATAAAATTTAAGGAATATTGTAGTAAATTGCAGAAGATCTTAAAAATATATTTTTAAAATAATTTCTAAACAATTGATTTAGTCTACAATTTCGTGGACCGCCGGACGATATCTACGCCATGATTGACAGAATCCATAGAGAAAAGGGTGATATTTTATTGTCTGCCACACAAAGCAGTCAATTCATGCGATACTCCAACCTATTGGAGCCGTTGGGCATCAGTTTCCGGCTCACAAATTGCATCGATTATCTCGACGTCAATAGCATTGCCGCCAACACATGGATGGGAGCCATACCTCTCTTCACATACGTCCACACATTCCCACTCATTGTCTGGTTTTGTATATACCTATCGATAATCGCCTTATCGGTGGTCTCTTCGCTACAACTGTTTCCACGATTTGACAAAATACACGAATTCTTATGGAATTACTATATAATCATGTTTTCAAAGAATATTCAGATATTCTTCACGAATCGCAAACTGAGACCAGTGTTAAGCCTATGGCTGATGGCGTCGACGCTGTTGTCCACACTATTCACGGCAATACTGTTGGAACATATGGTGAGTTCAGTGCCCGCGCTATACATCGATTCGTTGGAACAGTTGTCCGAACGGCCGGGCATTCAAGCCGTGGCCAGAAGTGACGGATCGTTAGTTGAATACATCGCAACCGTTAAGACGAGTGTCACAAAAGCCATTGACGACCGGTTGATCACATTTATCAACTTCGAGGACATCCGCCAACTGGTCATCGATGGTCTCCGTAACGGTTCCGTTGCTTTCGTTCACAATAAGCGCACACTTTTGTATTATTTACAAGAGTTTACTCAATATGAACAACGATTGCATAGATATAGCGATAGACTCATTGATTTGATACATATATCGGCCAAATTGGAAACCGAACCTTATTTTGCTTATGTTAACAAACTGACCAACATCACCCTTTTTACATACTTTAATCAAATGTATTATGTATTATAATAGCATGTTTGTAAAGTATTATTTCTCGACACACAATGTTTAGCATCTATGATATAAAGAGAAAACATACTTTACATTAAAATTGTTCCCAATTTATAATTTATTGTTTCTATAAAATGTATTTTATATTTAGGATAATATCGATGAGAGAATCGGGAATATATGGCAAATGGAGTGAAGATATACTGAATTATAGGCACAACGATGTAATCGATGGCAGTATTGAACACATTATGGTAGAAGACAATCAGCGAAACAACTTATTTGATTACAAACCTCTATTGAAAGAGAATATCTATGGTTTGGGTTTACTGTATATTTTTGGTGCACTTATTTCTATAGTAATCAATGGCATTGAATTGCTATTCAATCGATTAAAATAAACTATTTTTAAACTATAAATAATTTATTAGTTATTCAACTATTTATATAATTATGATTTTATTTATGATTTCTCCAAAACGTTTGAGAAAAACCATTGATTTATTTGTAGTAAAACCAAAATTAGAAAATAATGTCAATGAAAATGAGGAGTAATTTATTGCATATTTAAATTTCTAAGTGCAATCCAATTAAATATAAACGCATTTAATTGCATATAATTACTATTAACTTAATTGATAATTAAATGTAAAAGTTATTTTTGTATTTATGTTGAAATTATTTGCTTTTTACCTTTATGCCAAATGTTTTTATTTTTTTAAATCATAATACTAAATAAGCCACATTGACCATGCTGTTTGTGGCCAATAATTGAAAATAAAAGTTAAAATGATTTCAAATCATTGTATTATTTATAATGACAATGAATTTTTCCAGTTTTCCGATCAGATTATTGATAACCGAACTCTTCTCATACAACCCATAGATTCGCCGCCGTTTTGCATCTTATCGTTAGTTTTAATGACATTTAATTAGAAATTATAATTCATATAATGTTTGCATTTGTGTTGACACAAACCAGTGATGCCATACGGGAGTCGGTGTACGAAATGTGTGGACCACTGGTCGAGTTGATCATATCATTTGCCAAATCATACCAATCATAGTAAGTATTAGTTTCAATTCTTAATTGTTTTAAATCAAAAACTTATCATAAATCTCGTTGACCCTGGTTAGAGTTTCCTTTAAGTACACTAGGTAATAACTTTCATATTAGATATTAATGTTAACTTAAATACCTTCATATGAATAAATGACTAGTTTGAATTGTCTTGAACTATTAAATATTATATTTATATCCATTATCCATATCTTAAGCGTAAAATTCATGGCAAAAACGGAGTCAATAGAAGAAATGATATTAGGAGTGATGGAGAAAAAGACAAACATTTTGATGACACCATTAGTCGCGAGTGAATACATTGAATACTCGACACAATTGCGTGAATTTGACTTTTATTTCCGACACTCGGATTGTATTGATTACTACGAAATGGCGGCCTTTGTCTCCCTGTCCACCATCGGTGACGGGCGGACACATTTCACGTACTTTCGGTGCTTCAGCCCCGGGGTCTGGCTCTGCGCTGTGCTGTCCATTTGGGTCCTCTCTCTGGTCTCATCGCGTAATATATGTCACGAATCGCACACATTTTTCTGGCACTACTTTACCATAATGTTTATTAAATCGATGCCACTATTCATTCAGAGATCAAATCAGCGGTTCATAATTAGCGTGTGGTTAGTGTCGGCTCTGGTGTTGTCCACGTGTTTCACGACATATCTCTTGGACCACATGTCAAGCGCAGCGCCGGTGATGACGATCGACACGTTGGACGCGTTGTCGCGACGGCCAGACATGAAGATCGTGGTCCGAAACGAGAGCTCTTTGGCCCAGTATTCCCGGCTATACGACACGGAATTGGCCGCTAATATACGGCAAAACCTGAGGCCGTATATGGACTACGAGGAGGTGAGGGATGAGCTAATTGTTGGTCTCCGGAACGGGTCGATGGCGTACGCGAACGCACGGCTGACCATTATATTTGATTTGATGCAAATGACACGACTGGACACCAGTCCTGAGGCCAACCGCACGAAACTCATTGATGTCATGCATATCGCCGACGATAGCGAAGGTCTGGAGCCGTACTTCTTGTTCGTCACCGAAGAGTCCGAAGATTGGGTCCACAAAGGCTTGAATAGAGTGTGAGTTTTGAAACACGAATACATTGGATGTACTTTTGGTTGTCATAAACTGAGAAAATCAATTATTGGGACAATATTTGCCAATTATCTCAGTTTATGAATCAAATAGTATTGCTTTTCTAATACATTGAAGTGACCATGATCATTATAATTTTGTTTGTCATTAAATAGGATAATATTAATCCGTGAATCGGGTTTATATAATCACTGGAATAACGATGTATTGAATTATAATCGCAAACAAATCGGAAGAATCGATGAAAAAGTAGACATTATTTTATGCGAATTCAATGAACTTAATGTCCAGAATATCAGTGATTTGTTATATATTTTAATGTTTGCCGAAATCGTATCCATTATTCTATTAATAATTGAATTAATGTCTAAAAATTATATTAAAAGCAATATTACACTATTTGTACACAATATACCCAACAAACCTGTTTATAATGAACCGCTTTATTACAAACGCCTTAACAATTAATTAATTTGATAATTATCTACAAATGTAATCAATTATAATATGTCATAAATGGTGTGTAAATTAAATCAAAAATATAGTAATTAGTTATTTCATAAAGTTTTACATATTATAAATTAATTTTAATTATGCATTAAAATAGCCGTCAAATTACAAACTATTAAAAGCCATATATTTTGCCCACAAATTGCTCTTAACATTGCATTCAAAGCTAACAAACATTTCAACACATAATTTGCTATAAACTGCAAAATCGCGTGAAATTCAAACCAAAAGTCTATTATTTGATACAAAAATCTCTGAGAATTTCATTGAATAACTGTTTTATTCATTCACTTATTGTTTACCACTTTTTTGGTCACAAATTATCATCGATTGTCACTCAACTGATCCCAAACCGAAGACATCACCCGATTGTGAGACCGAAACCGATGTATCGCTCAACGCATTCAGTGTTTTCAAGACTTGGCTTAAGGTATGTATTGAACACCTCTTCTGTCTCTCTTATTATCACTGATTTAACCACTTCTTCGACATCACACCCTTTGGATCAGGTCTTCGGTAGTGGTTGTCGTCGTACCGATTGTGGCCGTGAAATGTGCGGATCAGTGGCGGCGTCTCAGCAGCCAAACTGGCGGTCAACTGATGGCAATGTCTTCGGCCGTGTGTGGCCTCCGAAGGGCACGAATGGCATCGTTAGGACTCGAGAAGACTTATCAGCCATTCGTCGGCATTAAACCATACTTTCAACGGACAGACAAAGACAGGAACACCGCTCACAACGAGATGTTGGGCTCCGGAATCATATGTCACACAAATGGCTTTGTGTTGACCACCGCTGGAGTTGTGGCCAATTATAGTCAAGTTATGGTCCATCGGCTCAATGCAAAGGATGGCTACATTTCACACGTGGTGTTCGTCTCGTTGGCCGACAATTTGGCTCTCATTAAACTACCGGCGGATAAACTGTCGCCCGAATGGGTCTGTAATATCAATGCCATTGACGACAGGAGTCTGAAAGTGGGCCATAAGGTACGGGCGGTGACTAATCCGCGCCACGGAGTGCACACTCACGTGACGGACGGTGTGATCAGTTGTCCGCGACGTAAAGGAGATCTGGTGAACGGCGGCGAATGGATTGACGCCAACAAGTATTACTTACAACACACCTGTGCTGTCAAACTGCAAGACATGGGCTGTCCATTGCTGAACGCCGAAGAGGGACACGAGGGAGACCTGATTGCCATGAATTGCTTCCAGCATAAGGTCCACATCAATGTCGGCATCGCTGTCAACGATCTCAAGAGTAAGTGTCCAACACTTGCGGACATTCGCTGTCATTGAATGGCATTTATTGTTAATTATTTGTTCTTTAAACCGATCGCAGCTTTTCTCGATAAACAGGAAGTGCGACAACTGTTGTCCGGCACTCATAAGTGGACGTTTGGTCTGGAGGTACAGCCCGGAGGTGCGGGTGGTCTACAAGTGACCAAATCGTACGTATGATGTGTTTATTGGGCTCACAATCGGCACAACTCTTGTTTTAATCACTAATTTATAACCATTTCTAATGATTTTATCGTCCATTTGTAGGCATCAGTCAGAAGTGTCCGCCGGGTCTGTGATCAGTCACGTGAACGGCTATCGGGTGACCACTATTGACGATATCATCGCTTTGACCGAAAACCAAGTGTGGGTTCAGCTCACGATCGGCACCGACAAGAAGGACATCACTCGACAAATTTTGCCCATTAATTGAATACTAATTTTTATGAAAATTAGTTTTTATTTTTATGTTTTATTTATTTATCTATTGTTTCATTTTATTTGTGTTTTTATTGAATAGTTTTTTAAATCTGTACTTTATTTTGTTTTTAAATTATTTATTGAATTGAATTGTATTTTTATCTCTAAATTATTTACATTTTTGGTTACATTTTATGCAAAACTATTGATTAAATGATTGCTTTTTTCTAAGAGTCGATTGTATTTTTAGTTACAACTAATTTTCAATACAAAACTAATTAAATTGTTTACAGATTTAATGCACATAATAATCGTTTTTCTATACATTGAGTGAAATGCAATTTACTCGTAAATCATGTTTTAATTATTAAATCAATAGTTAAACACTTAAAACACATCTGTTATTATGAATCTTAATGTCAAAAAGTTTATACAATTAATTGGCTATATTTCATCTGAATATTTATGTTTAGATTTATACTTTAAAAATACAATTGAATTGCAATTCACAATGAATTCCAATCACTGTATCGTTTATACGGCCAATGATTTGCTAAGTTTTTCGCCCGAAATCATAGACAATAGGACTCTAATAGTGCAGCCCTTCTATGGACCGCCTTATTTATACATCTCGTAAACTAATTATTAAAAACAATTTAAACTCCAATTTACTAATTGTGTCATACATTTCATGCCATAAATCTAGTAAAACAATCGTTGAGTCAGTCTATGAAATGTGTGGACCACTGCTGGAAGTGATCGTAGAGTTCGCCAAATCGTGCAAATCATAGTAAATATGTCTTCAAAACTAATTATAATTATTTATAATTATTTATTGCAAATCAAACCTAAATCTAGTGTCAAATTCTCGGCCAAAGCTAATAATCCGGTGGACGCGATGGTCAAAGTATATGAGATGAAGACTGACCTATTCCTGGCGCCGCTCACAGCCAGTCATTACCACCAATACTCACCGCAATTGAAACTTTTAAACATCACAATCGCTGCCACCGATTGCATAGACTTTGTAGATATGACTTCATTCGTGGCCATCACTACCACCGGAGCCTTCAAACACTTTACGTACTATCAGAGCACTCACACCAATGTCTGGTATTTGATTCTATTGTCAATTCTCACACTATCTCTACTGTCGGCCCGAAAATCATCGCAAATATTGCAATATATATACAACTATTCAATCCTTTTGCTCATGAATTCAATGCAAAAATTTCTGACAAAATCGACACAAAAATCATTGATAACTCTATGGGTTATATCGGCGCTGGTATTGACGCTCACATATACGGCCAGTATATTGGAGTACATGTCGACCGCGAGATCTGTCTTTCGGATCGACTCACTGGAAGAGTTGGCACAACACAAGGGTATGAAGATTGTCACCCGAGAGGACTCGGCTTTGGCTCAGTTCGCGAGACAACAACAGACACCACTGGCCGTCGATATACTCGCAAAACTGCACCCATTTGTAGAGTACGAAGAGATTCGACACGAGTTGATGATTGGTCTGAGGAACGGATCCCTGGCCTTCGTTGACGCCCGACTGGCCATCATTTTTGATATGATTGAGTTGACACGTATGGACTCAGTTAACCAATCGGGAGATCGCATACGGCTTATAGATCTGATGCACATTTCCGAAGAGACCGCGGGTTTAGAGCCGTATTTCATGTTTGTTTCGGACGCTTCCCAGCCGTGGATTCTTAATGGACTCAATCGGGTGTTAGTATTGTTTACTCATTAATACCCCAATCATTCGACTATAAGCCTTGTCTTAACTATATTACAGAATTATGTTTCGATAATCATGATAATTAACTTAGATATTAATTAAAATGTTTAATGTATTTGCCATAGGATTATACTAATCCGTGAATCAGGATTATACGATCAGTGGAATCGAGATATACTTAACTATAATCGCCGAGAAATCGGTACAATTGATGAGAAAAAAGTACAAATTTTGTTTGAATTCAATGTATTAAAGCTGCAAAATATAGTCGACATGATTTACATATTGATATTCTGCACAATGAATGCCATTATAATTATTTTATTAGAAATAGTATACAATTATTACGATAACTATAATAACAATCGTTTATTTGTCAACAAAAGTCTTCGAAAGCATAGAATCTTATATAATTTTCAGAAATTTAAACTCAGATTAAATAATTATTAAATAGATTTAAATTATTAATTATTATTTAATTAACTGTATTATCAATATACAATTAACTTGATAAATGTAACTTAATAAAAATGATTAAACTTAATTTCATAAAATTGCTAATCTAATACAATTATTTTTCTATAGTAAAACTGTTATTAAATGAATAGTTAATAATTTGTTATAAATGATAATATTTTATAATGGTAAATAATAATGTGTCCCGCTGTCACTTTATTTTCCTATTCCTCACTTCTCTGAACTAACGTTAAAATGAATGCATATTTATTGGCCATAAGTTATAGACGTTTAGCAAACCTAAGAATAACCGATTCTTTTGGCTGTAGTGTTAGCCCAAAGACATCCTCTAATGACAACAACTCTTCGTTTTCGGCACTTATTGTATATCTTTGTAAAAGTGATACCAAATACAGGAATACCTCCACTCGTGCTAATGTCTCGCCAACACAATTGCGTTTACCTTCATAGAAACAAACGTAATATTGCATTATTAGAAAATTATTTTAATAATTGTACAAAAATATCTGTTTAGTTATGACAATATGGTTAACATAATAACAGTATATACCCATAGAGAATGGTATCAACGCTTCAGTTTTAATCAAGTTCTTGCCATCATTTGTTAAAAATCGGTCAGGGTTAAAAAGCTCAGGATTTTGATACAATTTATGATCATGATGAACTGCCCATATATTAACCAACACTCGACTATCTTTAGGGATAAAATGACCCAATATATACGTGTCTTCGGAAGCCCTGTTAATTCAGTATACATTAATAAAGTTGTAATATATTAAATAAAAATACCATAATTAATTTAATAAAACTAATTCATACATTACCTTCTCATGAGACTTAGCGGTACAGCGGGTTTCCAACGAAATACTTCGCAAATGAATGCCTGAGTGTACGGCATGTCCAGTCTGTCGGCCCAACGGGGGCTCCGGTCTCTGCCGATCACACCATCAATCTCTTGGTGTAACCTCTTTTGGAGGTCTTTGTGTTTTGTGGCCAACAATACGGTCCACACGACTGCCGTACGGGTGGTCTCACTGCCGGCGCCGAAGAATGCTCTGGCATTTGATGAGCACTTTTTAACTAAAAATTATATTAATTATTATGAATTATTAAATATTACAATGTATTTAACAAATAATAACTAACCCGTGAAACTAGTGTTGGGATCAGTTTGTCGTCTTTTTTCCATCTCATGGAGGAATCCGTCGATATAATCGCGTTTATTATTTGTATCCATAGTTTTCTGGTGTGACTCTATTTCATTACTAATACAAAATTATTTATTTTAAGCATATATTAAATTAAATTTAAATATTAAAAACAAAAATTACCTAAATATTGCTAGAAATCTCTGCAAATGCTCAAACTTTGTCATAACCCCGATTTTTAAAATGAATTTACTGAGCCATAGGGGGGACACCGCCAGCACTCCCAGCAATGACAACAGCGGCGAAGCCCTGTCTATGAGGGCGTCGAGAAAAACCCTTTCGGGATCATTGAAGTCCATGCGGTGGCCAAACGCCAATTGAGACACATTGTTGGATACGCTGGGAGTGAGTAGTGTTTGCAAATCAAACGCCCGGCCGTCGGTCTCGTCGATGAGTGCCGTGAGGTATGCGATCTCATTGACCACCTTATCCTCCATACATTCCCTCCCAAAACCAATGTCTCGGAAGGTTTGCTGAGCAAACTTTCTGTGCTCTCTCCATACCTGTCCGCTATCGTCCATAAAACCTATTTTAAAAAATATTGTTTAATTTATATTCATTTAAAAAGTATATAAATTGCTGTGAATTACTGATGGAGTCGTCCGTAAGCGTAAACGGACTCTCTTTGGGTCGGTCTAAGAGGCAGTCATTGAGAAGCGTGTCTTTTGCCGATTCCCACGCATTCACTATAACTGTGTTATGAACTCCTAATTGCAGTCTATTTGTCAAAATCAGTGCAAATTAACAACAATTACATACAGTATATAAACATGTATTCTAAACACAATTTTAAATCTTTAACATGTTAATTGATAAAATTATAAACTGTGTACTCTACAATTGTTTGTATTAAAAATATAAATTACTTTAACAAAGTAATGATATTAAATTATTTAAAATGTTGGTCTTATATAAATAATATAACAAATACTTACGTAAAAAGTGGTCCGTATTTATCACTCAATTTTGCGATATCTTTGTGCGGTTGTGAACCGAGGAATGGGAGGAATCCAAGCAGTGGTACGCCTATAGGACCCGGAGGTAGACTAAGGCGCTCAATATAAGTGCCCGATATATGAAGACATAAAATTAACACTAATATTAATAATAGTAAATACAATGCATTTTCAATAACATATGTAATTAACGATTGTATTAAAAGCATATTGTAAACTATATTAATTTAATTTATATAAAACAATATAACTACAGTATTATTAAATTGGCAACAAAAATTTCGAAATAATTTATTTGTTGCAACTCATAGCAAACAATCATGTTAAAACTAGTACTTGAAATGAACATAAACTGGTATAACAACAATATGTCAAATACAATATTTAATAAAGTGTACAGTAATTACATAATTAGCGGGGAATCTCTGTTATTCAGTGAAAGACCATGAAAGGACCTTGATTGAAAATTCGATAATCATAGATTATCATTATTATTATTGAGCAAATGTTTGAACGGGCTTTTTATGGACAACTTATAATGCACTCTAAGAGACCATTTGTCCGTTTGATGTCCGTTCAGAGCATTTAAATATCACAAAACAATTTAATTTAATTATATTTATTTGAAATAATATTGTTTTCACTGATTATTTATGATTAATTATAGTTTGTTTTATATAATAATTTATTATTAATAAATTTATTTTAATAGTTTAATTTAAACAAACTATTTCACTAAACATTGGTTTCTATAAAATACAATTAAATAATTTAGAATATTTATAAATACAATAAATTGGTGGCAATATGTAACGTCTGGGAACCCTAGTCGTATGGGTTGAGCGATACTATTAGTGTGACAATTAACATTAATTTATATACCGAACATAATTTGTAACTTATAATATACTGATATTATAAATACAATATCTCAATATAATTTAACATCTTATATTCTTGATCATTACGAACATGTCGTATTAGTCCCCAAAAGAAGTCATGACGTATTAATAGGTTTATTTTAAAATTAAAATTTTTACAATATAACGTGTGCTTTTTATGCAAAATAATTTTTTGTACAAAAATAGAATGATTGTTGGTTATTTTGCCCTGGACAATTATTTTATATCATTTCTCATTGATGACCAGCAAACCCCCGAACATGGTCATTTTTCGATATTATTTTTACAAAAATTTAAAAATCTTGTATAATCTAAACGTGTTGCACTAAAAATCTAAACAATATACCATTACAATTCGATGGATGAATATCACAGATTTGGGCGGTCAAAAAGTTGCCGCACTCGTGACTTTTGCTTTAATACCCAACCGAAGTTGGCCGCACATAGATAGTGGCCATCATTCGATCAAAACTCTAATTCAATATATGTCGGCTGAAATATGTTCATGAAATAGGGTGGCAGTGAATATACTATTTTGGATCACTTTCACGTGATATGGAGGAGCTAGAGGTCAAGAAAATTGAATTTTAGACAATCTTGAAGCTGAAAAAATCAACACAAAAAATATTTATAAAA